GGAGCAGCGGGAGAGACAGGAGAGGTCTGCCTCACCGAGTGGGATTCTCACCAGCTGGCCAGGATCGAACCGGCGCTGCGGAGGCTGCGGACAGCTTCACTGCAGCGCTCAACCGCCTGCGCCACCAGGGAGGCCCCAAATGTTTTCATTTCTTTTGAGCAAATATCTAAAAATGGAATCGCTTTGTGAGTTGGTAGGTACATGAGTGTCTTTATAAGAAACTGACAAAATTTTCCGAAGTGCTGTATGTACCATTTTGGATTTCCTCTAGCAATTTATACGCGTTCCAGTCGCTGTGTATCTTTGCCAACATTTTGTGTTGTCTTTTTTTTTTTTTTTTTTTTTTTTAATTTTCTAGAGGCATGTCTTATTTATCTATTTGTTTGTTTGTTTGGTTTATACATGCACTGGGTACAGTCAGAAGCCGGGAGGGTGAGAGAATTCACCAGAGCCAGAGCGGGGAGCAGAGCAGGCAGAAGGACTGAAGTACACTGCTGAGGGGAGCAGCGGGCGGCAGGAGAGGTCTGCGCGCCATGTGGGACCCTCCTTCGGTGGCCGGGGAGCAGCCGGGGATTGAACCGGTGCCGCAGAGGCCGCGGGCAGCCTCGCAACCCAGCGCTCAACCGCTGCGCCACCTGGGAGGCCCTGTGTTGTCTTTTTAATTTAGCAGTTGCTGTGGGGTCTTATTGTGATTTTTAACTTACATTTATTTCCCCTGTGCTTTGTGATGTTGATTATCTTTTAATGTGCTTATTTGCATTATCTCCTTTGTCTCAGTTTTTTTCCCTCATTTTTTAATTTGATTGCTTGTTACCCAAAAGCTTTTTGCATATAATACCATTCTTTATGTTATATATCAAGTCCTTTGTCAGATATGTGCGGGGAAATGTTTTCTGCCACGCTGTGGCTTGCCTTTTAATTTTACTAGAGGTGTGTTTTGAAGAGCTAAAGTTTTTAATTTTGACAAAACATTAATTTTGTCCTTTTAAATACTTCATACTTTTGTAACCCAAAGTAACAAAGACTTTCTTAAATGTCCTTTGTTGATTTTAATTTTTGTTACATTTCTTTATAGTGTGAGGTAAGAAGTTGATTTTTTTTCTTATGAATTTCTAATTATTTCAGATTGCTTTTCCCCATTGACTTGGCATCTTTGTCAAGTCTCTGTTGGCCATACGTGACTCAATTTATTTGTGGACTTTTTTGTGTTTTCTTGATCTTTGTGTCTGTTTTTAGTCCAGTACCACACTGCCTTGGTAACTGTAGATTATAAGTCTCTAAGTCAGTTCATTCAAATGCCCCACCATTTTTCTTCAATGTTGATTTGACTATTCTAGGTCCTTTTTATATACATATATATTTTAGGATCCGTTTATCAATTTCTTAACAAGCTGCAGGGATTTTGTTTGAGTTTACACTGACTTAGATCAATTTGGGAAAAATCTTATTGTATTGAGCATTTTTCACTCTAAAACACTTCTTAATTTTAGCAATATTTTCTAGTTTTCAGTGTAAGTCAAACATTTTGTTGAGTTTATCTCTAATATTTCCTGCTGTTTTTTTTAAAGATTCATTTATTTATGCATACAAGAGTTGGGGTACAGGGCAGAGGTGTGGAGGGTGAGAGGATTCACCAGAGACAGAGTGGGGAACAAAACAGGCAGATCGACTGAAGAACACTGCTGAGGGGAGCAGCGGGCTAGTCAGGAAAGGTCTGCTGGACATGTGGGTTGCTCCCTGCCTGGCTGGGGATCAAACGTGCTACAGAGGCTGTGGATTGCTTGATAGTGCGGAGCTTAACCCCTCGTGCCACCAGGGAGTCCCACGTGTTTTTTGATGTATTGCAAATGGTACTTTTAAAAATTTCAATTTGATGGCTGTGAGTATGTAGAAATATAATTCCTATATATTTACCATGAATCCTGAGACCTTTCTATACACACTTAATAGTTCTAGTGCTGCTTTTTGTAGATCCCCTTAGTATCTACTAGTTAACCATGTAATATATAAATGTTTTATTTCTTTTTATCTGATAGTTTGCCTTTTCTTTTTTCTTCGCCCTATAATATGTACTAGTACTTCCAGACCAGTGTTGAATAGAACCTATGAATAGAACCTTTGCCCTCTTCCCAGTTTTAGTTGGAAAGACATTTAGTGTCACCAGAAGTATGAGGTCACCTCTATGTAGACTTCATCAAGTTAAGAAAATTACTTTCTGGTCTTAATTTGTTAATAATATTTATCATGCATGAATGGCTGTCAAATTTTGTCATTTTTTTTCTTTTTCTATTGAGGTAATTATGTGATTTTTCTTTGTCTAATATGGTGAGATATAATGGATTTTCAAATATATTTCCGAACTAAACCTCATTTGATCGCAAGATGTTATCCTTGTACTATTTTGTTGGCTGTGTTTGACATACTGAAATTTTGTAAAAGATTTTTGTGCCTATGTTGTTTTGAGAGACATTTATAGTTTTCTTTTCCTGAAATGTCTTTGTCTGGTTTGTATTAAGATAATGCAGCCATTACAGAATTAATTGCTAAGTGATTCTTATTTTATGAAAGAGTACATAAAGAACTGGTTCTCTCACTTCCTTAAATGTTTAGCATAGTTATCCCTTTGCATTAGAAAAGGTAATGTTGAAGACAAAAGCCCTGAAGAGCACAAACCAAAAGCTGGGTGCCTGGATCTCCCTGAGATTTAGATATTACCTTTTTCCTTACAATTCAAATAGGATAGGGCCTCCCTTGTGGCTCAGGGGTTAAAGACTGCACCATCAAGCTATTGCCAGCCCCTGCAGCATGAGTTCCAACCCCAGCCTGCCAGGGAGCAACCCACAGGGCTCAGCAGACCTCACTCTCTGGTGAATCCTCTCATCCCACCCCACTCTGCCCTGCACATCTGGCTTACAGCCCAGTTCTCGTATGCATAAATAAATCTTTTTTAAAAAACAATTCAAATAGAATGCATCTGAACCATCATTCCATTTATTGTAGGAAACTAGGTATGTTTAAAATAACAGGATTCTTTGGGGGCTTATATTCCTACTGGCCCTCTCACTTTCTGGTGTCTTTGGTGGATTCTCTCTCTCCTTTCTGTTCTCAAGTGATTCCTGCCCTCTTTCCAAATCAGCATCCCAGCATGGTCTTCGGCCCATAATCTTGCTTTCCCAAAGTACCACTGACACAAGATTTCTTATGTATGGTTTGGTATAATTGCAGAAGCTTACAGAACAGCCTACAATTTTAAATTAATATTAGGGCCTCCCTGGTGGCCTAGGATTAAGTCTCAGTGCTATCACATGTTGCCTCCTGTGGCCTGGATTTGATCCCAGTCAAGGGGCTAACTCACATGGTGCAGCTGACCTCTCTTGTCTCGTATGCTGTTCCCCTTAGCAATGTATTTCAGTGGCTCTGCTTGTTCTGCTCCCCATTCTGTGTCTGGTGAATCCTCTCATCTCCCCCACCTCAGGCCCACATCCCAGTTCTTCTATGCATCAATGGATAAAAATCTTTAAAAATAAAATTAATATTAAATAGAACCTGTCTACAAAATTCATTGACCATAGCCAATCATATTTATATTTTTCTTTTAATGTACTCTATAGCCATTATGCTGAGGCATTTCCCAACTGCAATGAGATAGGATTTCCTAGTTGGGTTCACTGTTTAACTGAAACAATAATCATTTAGAATGATTCTTGGAACATAATATTGAATATAAGTAGTTGTTCAATAATTTAATGAATCCCTTAACATTTAGATTTTTCAAATACATTTTTCAGCAGTTGGCTTAAGACAAAACTCTGAAGACATTCCAGAGCATAATTTTTTTTTTTTAATAGAGGCATGTTTTTATTTATTTGTTTGTTTGTTTGTTTGTTTTGTTTATACATGTACTGGGTACATTTCAGAAGTGTGGGAGGGTGAGAGAATTCACCAGAGCCAGAGTGGGGAGCAGAGCAGGCAGAAGGACCAAAGTACACTGCTGAGGGGAGCAGCGGGCTGCAGGAGAGGTCTGCAGTGCCATGTGGGACCCTTCTCTGGTGGCCGGGGAGCAGCCGGGGATCAGCCGGGGATCGAACCGGCGCCGCAGAGGTCGCGGGCAGCTTCGCAACCCAGCGCTCAACCGCTGCGCCACCGGGGAGGCCCAATTTTTTTTTTTTTAAAGATTTATTTATTTATTTATACAAGCAGTGGGTACAGTCAGAAGCGTGGGAGGGTGAGAGAATTCACCAGAGCCAGAGTGGGGAACAGAACAGGCAGACAGAGCGAAGACACTGCTGAGGGGAGCAGCAGGCGAGGCAGGAGAGGTCTGACACGGTGCGGGGGGGGGGATCAAACCAGCACTGCAAAGGCTGCAGACAGCTTCACAGCGCGGTGCTCAACCACTGTGCCACCGGGGAGGCCCCAGAACAAAAATTTTACATTCACATGTTTCAGAATCATGTTGAGTTAGTTTATATTTTTATTTTTTCAAACTTCACCATGTTTTTCATATTTATACACATACTCATTAGATGTACATTTTTTAAAAAAATTTCTGTTTATTTCAAGGCTCATTTGACAAATCATATATGCATATTTATTGAGGTAACACTGGCTTATAAATTTATGTTTCAGGTGTACAGCCTTACAGTTCAACAACTGTATATATTACATCATGATCACCACCCAAAAATCTAGTTTCCATCCAGCACCATTCAGTTGACACCCTTTACTCATTCATCTAACCTACCAATCCCTTCCCTGCTCTGTAACCACCAATCTGTCCTCTAAATCTAAACGTTTTTTTAAATTTTGTTTATTTCATTCCTTTTTTTCTTCATATTGCACATATAAGTGAAATCATACTATTGTCTTTCTCCATCAGACTTGTTTCACAAAGCATAATACACCTTAGGTCTATCCTTGTTGCAATGGCAGTAATTTCATCTTTGTTATTGGGTTTATTTTTATTTATTTATTTATTTTTAAAAATTTATTTATTTATGCATACAAGAGCTGAGGTACAGGCCAGAGGTATGGGGGGGTTGAGTGGATTCACCAGAAACAGAGTGGGAAACAGAAAAGGCAGATTGACCGAAGGAAACTGCCTAGGGAAGCAGCTGGTGAATCAGGAGAGGTCTGCTGCGCCATGAGGGTTGCTCCCTGGCCAGCCAGGGATTGAACTTGTGTTGTAGAGGCTGCAGATAGCTTCATAGGTTGTGTCTGAACCCCTTGCTCCACCATGGAGGCCCTCGGTTTATTTTTAAACGACAATTACTATTGAGAAAAAAGGACCAGTAACGGAAATAATGCAATTGCAAGTTAGGAATTAGGAAATGTTGACTCATTAATGACCGAGTTACTTAGTCATCATTTTATTGTTTATCGCAACATTTATCAGCTAATTCTCACTAAAATCTAACAAACCTTGGTACTCTTAGGTCTCAGGAAGAATAAAAGAATAGAAGGGTAAGAGGACATGAGAGTGAGGCCTCACTAAATTCTTTAAGTTGTTGTAAATCCTCTGTTATTACTGATGGTGTCTCGAAGTGCTTTCTTCACTTTTTTCATGGTAGAATATTTGGGGAGGTCTAGAATATTATGACATGTCAGTGTTCTTGGGTCGTCTTCTTCACTTAAATTATCAGGACAGCGAAATTTGATTCCCATCTGCTTCAAGCCTCTTACATGTAGCCTATCATTTCCTGTAAGAAAAACTAGAAAGGCATAAACTTTGGTTAAAATATTAGGAAAAAAATCCTAAACATGAAAAATAGGAAACTAATCACTTCATTCAATGGATATTTATTGTGTACACTGTGCAGAAAGAACTACATAGGCTCTTTTAGAGCATGAAAAAATCATGACATCTGGTCTTTGTCCTTAGTGTGTTTCTGGTCTAATGGTGGGGGGGATTACATACATGAAAACATAGCAGCAAGATACAAGAAAATTCAGTTTAGCTCATTTAGAAGTATGAGGGGTAGAGCCTAGCAAAAGCCATAAGATTCAGGACAGGGACAAAGGCCAGACTGGGATAGTCAGGAGACTTTACCTCTGCTAGTTCTCAAGAAGAGAGGGGTTACATTTCAAGGAGAGGGGGAAAATCCTAAGAAAAAAGTCAGAGGCAGGAAGATGTACGTAAATTCACTGAATGTACAGACAATGAAACCAGCGTGCTGAAGCAGATTCCCCCATATTGGAAGTTTTGTCTAGTGAAGAAATATGTTAGGTTTGAAAAGAAGCTGGAATTACCCTCTAACATCTTCAGTAACAACAAAAATAACAAGAAGAAAGATGTCTATCTCCAGAAAAAATGAAAAATGGGAGGAGTAGGTGAAAGAATAAGTCAGTCTGTCCTAGGGAAACCTTTGGATTCCCAAGAGAAGTTCTTATACCACAAGGCCACAGAGCTTAGTGACCAACAGCCTGGGCTTTGGATCAATCTGTTGGATTCAAAGTCTAAAATCACCAGCTGTCTGAACTTAGGCAAACTACTAAATGATCCAAGCTTCTTTTTCCTCAGATCAGAAATGGGGAAAAATCTAGTGGCTACCTCAGAATGTTGTTACTAGGATAGAGGGAAGTAACAGATATGTAGTGATTGATACCTGGCATAGAATGTGCACATAATAAACGCTGTCACCATCATCATCATCATCATCATCGCTATCAGTGTACTTTGCTATTATTATTTCCAAAATAATATTGGAAACAGATTACATTGTCCGATGGGACTTAGATAATAAAATGAAGATAGGAATGTAAGATTAAAAGGCTTGATTAGGAGCCAGCTAGACTGAGGAAAGGAGATACAAACTAAAATTGGAGGTAGGATTAGAATTAGTGTAGAGAAGGTAGTAAAATAGTAATAACTTTATTTTTCTTTTTTATTTTTTTGTCAATGCAAGGTAAGCTTATGTAAGTGAAAACACACTATTCTAGAAGGTAGGTACCTGGGTTCTAACCCTGCCACTGTTGTTAGCTGTGCATAACATAATAGCATAGCTATTAATGTGTCCCCACCATTAGTAAATAACTTCATCACAAATAAGATACTTAACTTTTTAAAAAACTAAATAATTGGAGCCTCCCTGGTGGCCTAGTGGTAAGTCTCAGTGCTATCACCATGATGGCCTGAGTTCCATCCCCGGCCAGGGAGCTAACCCACATGGCTCAGCAGACCTCTCCTTTCCCCCCACACCCCCTTAGCAGTGTATTTCAGTAGATTCGCCTGCTGTGCTCCCCACTGACTCTGGTGAATCCTCTCATCACCCGCACCTCTGGTCTACACCCCAGTTCTATGAAAAAAATAAATAAAATCTTTAAAATCAATAAATGAAAAGTATATAATTAAAGATCCATCTATTAGCAATACTTACATAAGAATTTTCTCTTTTCCTCCAAAGTTAATTTGTGGAAAGCTTTCCAAAACATCTGTATAGTACGATGTGATTTGTGATACCCATACCCATAAATTGAATTCTTGAGAAAAAGAGGGAGAAAATGATTTTTAGGAGGAATATTAAGAAATTTCTTGGGAAAACTCAGGACAGTTGGGTTATCACTGACCTTTTCAAATTGTTCCCAGTCAAAATCAGTATTTCCAATCATTGCTGTCATTAGTTCTTCAGGCTGGAAAAATCTAAGTATCTCCTTGTGACAGACTTTATAAAATCCTCTCTGAAATTCCTCATAAATTGCCTTTACAGAAGTGTTGAAAATGTAGTTGATACACTTAGAAATATAGTCATTTCTTTTGGGAAGTAAAAAAAAAAATACATACTTTACCAAAGTGACTAAATAAATTCTCTACTTTGCATTTTTTGCCATTTTTATGTTAAAAGAAAATAAACTAGTTATGCTTATGACCCAACCCTGAAAGATGCAGCAATATAAGAATATCTGGCCAGCTAGAAGAGGGAACCCTGAAGAAGACAGCAGAAGGATTATTACTTTTTTCTGCTTTCTATTTCCTTGCTTCAGTCAAGACGATTATTGAAAACACTAATTGGAGTATGTCACACTGCTTAAAATCTTTTAAAGTAATTTCCCTTAGGGTAAACTACAAACCTCCTTAACAGGATCAAAAAACCCAACCCCCTGCATAACAAACCTTGGAAATCTGACTATAGATTTAGGATGCTAGAGGGGAGAGGGAGTAGAACAAAGTGGAGGGGGGCTAGCGGACCGTGGTGTGAACTATCTGTGCCTTGGTAATGGGTATGGTGTGGTGACACACTGAAGAGTGTGATCCTATACCGCTAGGTCATATACAGTATTGTCCCCAATGTCACTGCAATAATAATATGTAAAACATAAACATAAAACCCTCCATGATCTGACCTCCTTTGGCTCTTCTAACTGCCACTTGGTTCTCCACTCACACTAACCATCAGTCACCAGCCTCACTGTCTTATCTGGTAGCTAGGACACAGAGGAGGTATTTCCTCCTTCTGCAATTTCTGTGATTCATCAATTAGGTATAAACATGCCTCTCAGGATTGGTCCTCTATTCCTCCCCTACCCCCTCTTCAAACGCATGTCACTATGCAGTTATTTCTGCAAAGTCTGTCTTCACTGCATGATGAATTTCCAGCTGGCCAGGCTGTTACCAAAGCCATTTTCACTTGAATGTGCTTGGGTCCCATCATTTGATCAGCCTCTAACCATTCCTTCTAAACCAACCCCCTCACCTATCCTGGGGACCAGTGGGGTACTGGTAAATGGTCAACAACCAGATCACTCAAAAAAAGAGACGGAACCCTGTTTTGCAGAATTTGCTGATTTCTGTGGTATAAATATTCCCATCATGGCTGATTTCAAACTAAATTTTAATAATAAACTGTCAATATTTTTGAAAATATAACAATCAGCTCTCATAAGGTGGTACTCACTCCAGCATACCTCACCTGTAACTCTCTAGGATCTTGATTTTTAATTTTTTTCAGAGTGCTCATCCTTATCTGACATATTATATAATCCATTTGTGTGTTGTTTTTCTGCCCCATTGCAATTTAAGTCCCAGATCTTATCTGTCTTTTCCCCTGCTGTATCTCCAGCACCTAAAATAAAGTCTGATGCAGACAAGAGGCTAAAAAAGAATTGTTTGTCCAGTGGCGCAAGGGGTTAAGTCTAAGCACTATCAAGCTATCACAGCCCAGGCTAGGGAGCTACCCACATGGCTCAGCAGACCTCTCCTGCCTGGCCAAATGTTCCCCTCAGCAGTGTATTTGGTAGATCTGCTCATTCTGCTCCCCACTCTGTCTCTGGTGAATGCTCTCACCCCAGCACCTCTAGCCTACATCCTAGCTCTTGTATGCATAAATAAATCTTAAAAAAAAAAAAAGATTTTTGCTACATGAATAACTAGTGAAAAGTGCTGTGAAGGAAATGTTTAATCTGGACTCCTTTCTCTCTTTTACCCCACACCTTTTTATGTTTCTAAAAGATAAGGAGCTTCAATGACCATGTGAGAAGCTAAAACTTACATTTATGAAATACAACAATACAAACATTTTATGTGTATTCAAAGCATATATTCTAGATCTCAAAACCTACTTGTTGGTTTGGTCCACAGGTATAGAGATTCCATCTGGAACTAAAGCCACATCATTTTGGTCCCAGTGTATCTGTACCAAACATGAAGGAAAGTCTGAATAATCAATCATACTACAGCTATTGTTGGCACATTCTTCCCTATAAAATGTTAAATACTGGGAGCAGCATAATTATTTATTCAGTAGCACAGTCTTCTAAAATAGGTAAAAACATAAAGTCTACCTTAGTATATATTGTTCATTGTTTTTAAGCATGTATTATTTTGTTGTTTATTGTTCACATTGATTGAAAAAATCACATTTGCACTTATAATTTGAGAGTAGACAGACATAAAGTATCAAATCAGTAGCAGGTGGGAGGAGAGTCTTAGCATACAGGAGTAAAACATACTTCAAGATCAAAGAAGGAATCCCATCTTTAAGATAATATAATAAAAATTATTTTAAAAAAGCAGATTAAATCTAAGCTACAATCTGGCTTTCATCAGTACTCACAGAAAAATATATCTGAAATTGTTCTCCAAGGTCATCAGCTTCATAATGTAGAACTTCTTGCAAGCCCCTAATGAGAATTTTGGTTTAAAATTATATTTGAGATTGTAAAAGTAATTCTGAAAGTTATAAATGTTCAATGGAAAAATTTCTGAACAATCTAGAAATGTATAAAATGCCATGTAAGTCCTCTGCTCTTGTGTCCACTCCCTCTTAAGAATTAACCTTAACAGGGCCTGCCCTGGTGTTGCAGCGGTTGAGCGCTGGGCTGAGAAGCTGCCTGCAGCCTCTGCAGCACCAGTTCGATCCCAGGCCACGGGCGAGGGTCCCACATGGCATGCAGACCTCTCCTGCTGCACCCGCTGCTCTCCTCAGCAGTGTATTTCGTGGGTCTGCCTGTTTCTGTTCCCTGCTCTGGCTCTGGTGAATTCTCTCACCCTCCCGTGCTTCTGACTGTACCTAGTGCTTGTATAAATAAATAAATCTTAAAAAAAAAAAAAAAAAAGGAATTAACCTTAACAGTTTGACTCTTTGGCCCAAGCCACCTCACAGACAGACTGTGTCTCTGTGGCAATTACAAAAAGGCCCTTTCTTCTAGACCAGTGATTCTCAACCAGGGCTGATTTGCCCCCACAAGAGACATTTGACAAAGTCTGGAAACATCTGTGTTACATTTAGGGAAATGGTCGTCACGGACATCTAGTGGGTATCAACCCCATATGCAGCTAAACATGCCCTACGTGTCCCTCCATGCCTACAACAGCCTTTCACAACAAAGAATTACCCAGCTCAAAATGTCACTATTGCAAATATTGAGAACCCCTGCTCCAGACTGTCACGGCAAGCAGTATAAATAGAGCTAGTTGATTCTTCCACTAACACAACATGAGAAGAGAGTCCTTTTTTCGCAGTCTACTGCCAACACCATGTTTTAGTTTTTTAAACCATGTTTTACAAAAAATAATTTTTAACAGTTTTTGATCTGAAAACAGAAAAATGGTCTCTCCTTTTCATTTTGTACTTCTTCCATTACTAGTGAAGTTGAGCATGTCTTTATCTTATAATTACCTATATAAATGTACTTATATGGATATATATATGGATTTATATATCAGAGTTATCAATCTTACCATACCTGTTGCCAATATTCTCCTTACAGGATATAGCTTGCCTTTGACCTTGAAACAACTGTTTTTTATTTGTTAAAGAATAATGTTGATGAAATACTAAAACATTTAAAATAAATGTAGCATGAATGATTCTCAATAAGAATATTATTAACTAGCCAAGGCAACTGTTTCTACCAGGATAAAATCAAGAGATCAGACCAGAGCTGTGTATTGCTTTATAATTAGAGGAATATTTGGCTTTTTCCTATTTTTGAAGGTTTACTTGATTATGCCATGCTAAAATTCAAATTCATATAAAGGGCATACATTTATTGAATTTGAAGACTGTGAGTGTGTGCATGTATGTGTGTGTGTGGGGGGCATGATTTATATCTAAATGACCTAGATATTATAAGGACTAACTACTTACTTCCCCAAAAGAGGACTGAGTTCTTTTAAGTCTTCCAATGATGGATTGAGACCCAAAAGTTTCTTAAACAGAGCCAGTGGGAAAGGGATATTGGCAACATTTAAATGGAGTAGGGAAAGTCCACACAGCTTTCCAAAGAGGTAATATCTCTCCTTCTCAAATGTAGCCTGGAAAAGGAAAACAAATCCTTTAATGTATTATAAATAATCAATAATCTGAAGGGATAATTAGATTGTGAAAATGATTTTGGTTCCTGATTCTAAAAGTCACAAATTAGAAACAAAATGGACCTCAGAAAAATAATAATTTAAGGTTCTTACGCAGGCAAGAATACAATTTAAACTTAATCCATACTTTAAAATACAAATGGACAATTCAGGCTATTAAATGAATTTACTTTTTGTTACTGCATCTGGAATATAAGAAAACATGTTCAGGTAGTCTTATAAAACAAGTTTTCACTATTGAATTTTACAGTCACCTAATATCACCTTAGGTTCATTTACCTAATAAAATCCCCCATCAAGGGGGCACTTGGAAATCTTTTTCGGAACAAGCACCCCATGAAGAGACGTGATCTGGTAATGAAACTACCTTGTGCCTTGGTAGCAAAGATAACAGATGTTCTATACTGGCCAGCCCAGCCCAATAGCAGAAATCCTATAAAAATATTAACTCTTGGGCCTCCCCGGTGGCGCAGCGGTTGAGCGCTGGGCAGCGAAGCGAAGCTGCCCGCGGCCTCTGGGGTGCCGGTTTGATCCCCGGCTGCTCCCCGGCCGCCGGAGGAGGGTCCCACATGGCGCGCAGACCTCTCCCGCCACCCGCTGCTCCCCTCAGCAGTGTACTTCGGTCCTTCTGCCTGTTCTGCTCCCCGCTCTGGCTCTGCTGAATTCTCTCACCCTCCCGTGCTTCTGACTGTACCCAGTGCATGTATAAACAAAAAACAAAACAAACAAACAAACAAACAAATAAATAAAAAAAAACATGCCTCTATTAAAAAAAAAAAAAAGAAAAAAAATATTAACTCTTTTAGGAAGGCAAGACTGTACTTTGGGAGCAATCCCTCTGCCTCCTACTTGACTCAAGTAATCCAATCTTATGTACCACAGATCTTCCACTTGGTCTAGTTAATTAGCTGATATACTCCAAGCAGCCAATCCTGGTACTCAGTGACAGGAGAAGGGGTACAAGTAAGGGAAGAATAACATTAAAAAGGGATATGAGGAAAGTTTGGGGGATGATCTAAATGTTCATTTTCTTGATTGTGGTGATTGTTTCATGGATATATATTTATATCAAAACTTAGCAAAATGAACACTTTAAATCTGTGCAGTTGTATATTAAAGTTTTTTAAAAATTAAATGTGCATGTGAATCACCTTGGGATCTTATAAGATTCATGTTCAGAACTAGGGAGTCTTAGATTCTGCTTATCTAACTGTTCCAGGTGATGCTGGACGATATTTTGAGTAGCTGTCATCTACTGTTACATTATTATGTATAGTTTTCATATTGCAGTATCTGGTATTTTTTTCTGTTTTGAAAAGCCCCAAGAAAATTAATTGAAAACTTACATTAACAGGAAACCACATGTAGGAACTTTCTTTGGGATATATGAACATTCCGTATTCGACCTTGGTCATCTCTTCAAATATACAGTGGAAGAACTCGGATATTACTCCTTCACCCCGAGAAGTAATTTCTTCAACAAATTGAATCTGAAGAAAGAGAACATACTCCCAGGTCTATATTTCAAATATATGCCTGATCTTCACGGAAAAGTTTTAAACCTCCTATAGTCACCAGGATTCCCAGAATCCCACCTCCTTCACCTCACTGCCATTTGCACTCCCTCACTTTGCTACTGAGCAGTGGATATCATGAACCTATTTATTGTCAGATTACTGTATAGTGAGTACTTGGGTCCTTCACACTGCTACTTCACCTGATGAAGGGGGACTCTGGGAAGACACTGTATTCACCAATTATGTTGACCAGCATCCAGAACCAAGTTTCTGGTGCTTCAAAGTCTGTGGAGGCCACTAAATTTCCTGATTCTTCTTTCCTGTTATCTGTCTTCATCTCATCTTTCCTACTTTGCCACTTTGGCTCAGTCTCAACTACTTGGTTTCTCCTGCCTCTACCCTCATTAGGATTTCTGATAAACAACCTTACAGTCAGCCTGGACATGGCACTTTGCAGGAATTCTTAGAAATGTGGAAAATCAGTAGGAACTTCCTTTCTAAAGCCCACCTTTGGACTTTGTGGCCAGTCCTGGCTTTTATCCTACGTCTCTAATGATTTATTTCCTACTTCCTTTTCTGGCTAATTTCTTTTTAACCTTTTTAATATAAACATTAGTAATCTTCACTAAGAGTTTCCTTTCTGCTGACTTTACAGACTGTCATCTCCAAGGGCCTTCTTTAGATTCCAACTGAATATTCCAATAACAAATTAAGACTACTTCTGATTTTATTTCTGCACATTTACACTAACATATGCAGTGTGCAGGACCCATTCATAATGGGCCTTGATGATCATATCATGCTCAGGCTCTTTTGTTTGGTTCTATTTTATAGTTTACCTTCTCACCTCTGTCACTTCCTGTAGGTAGAATTATTTTCCGTTGATCTCCTCAAAATCATGATTTAAAGGAAAATACACACAGGGGGAAAAAGTACAAATTCTGGTTTTATTACAACATAATTTCTTCATTTCTCATTGGAATTCCATGCTGGAAAATACCCTCTTTATCTAAGTTTTACCCTCCAGGTTCTTGTTTCTTCTCTGAGAACCTAATTCTTCCTCTTGGGGTTGATCCGGAAAATCCACTCCTTCTGGACAGACTCCAGTTCTTACCTACAGTCAGCTAAACTTACTCTTTCACCTCAATAGGACAAATGGTCTGAGGTACCACACACAATAAAAGTCCTGCAGGAGTCCACAAAGGATGAAGTGAAAATGGTCAGAATTGGAACCAATATAGTAGAAAGTATATGACTAAAACTAGAGCCAAAATATAGAAAAGTATCTGTTTCCCTTGCAGCTTGTGATTGCATTAATAGCCTCAATTCTTTTCCTTCTTCATCCATGTCTTTTGTCTGTGAATTTACATTTCGTTCCACAAAGGAGGCTTACATGGATATGGCCCATACTTGCTATGACTAAAGTGATGATTGTTGTGTGACTGGGTTTACTACCTTGTATCTGTGGCTCTGCTTAGAGAAGTCCATGGTAGCTAGCCCAAAAGAAGTTGAAAACATAGGAAGTGGGGCCAAATTGCCACACTCAGGCCTAGCCTACCTCAGCTGAACCCTAGTTAACTTCCAAACATGTGAACAAGTACAGGCAAAATCTGCAAAGCCTTATATGAATTCAGTATAGGTCAGGTGACCTTCAGCTGAATAGCAGATTTCTAAAATAAGTTAATATTATTTAAACTGATAAACTTCAGGGGCCTCCCTTGGTATCCTGGGGGTTAATTTTCAGTGCTAACACTGCCAAGACCTGAATTCAATCCCCGGCCAGGGGACTAACCCACATATAGCACAGAAGATCTCTCCTGTCTCGCTGTGCTCCCCTTAGCAGTGTATTGCAGTAGGTTCACCTGTTCTGCTCCTCACTCATTTCTGGTAAATCCTCTCACCCTTCACACCTCTGGCCTAAACCCCGATTCTTCTATGCATAAATAAACTTTTTTTAAAAAAAAAGGAATTGTTAAAAAAAAGATTGAGATTTATTTAAAAAATAAATTATTAAACTTTGGGATTTTGTAGCAATTTTGTAGGCATAAGTAATTAATAAGTTACTTCATAATCTTAGTGTTCTATTAAATATCCCATAGTTTTCTCTGAAGTTAAGCAAGGAATGAAAACTACAGGCTGATGACTATAGTTGCAAATGCAAGTTCTTTCATTACGCCTTATTTAAGTATTTCCCTCCCACTTTAGTAAAAATTTCCAACGAGACTTTTTACTGTACCACTAATTGTTTGCGGAGGTCAGCATCTTCAGCTTGGCTCAACTGGCGCAGAGCATCTTCAACTAGGTGACTACGTCTGACTTTAAGAATATACTGGGGTGGTGGAGGGATCAAGATTCCTTGTTGTATGAAATCAATACATGTTTTCCTATCTGATGCCTAGGAAAAGAAATATTTTAGGAATTTTCATAGGAATACTCTGAAGTATTTAATATTTCAATAAACATTTTATACAGAATACCCTTATGCATACCACTGCTATATATACTCATATTGTCATTTTTAAGGGAAAGGGCATCATATCACCACTATGAAAGAGGACATGTTCCTAGAATCAGAGAAATTATGGCACCAAATTAGTTCCCATGGATTATAGTTAAGTAATGAAAAGTCACCTCTCATCACTTATAAAAACACGATAATTAAAGGCAACAGTGATATTCAACATGTTAAGACATTCATCTACCATCTGTTATGAGAAGCAGAGTGTTGGTGCTATAATCCTCAAGAACAGAATGACAGCCTAGCAGCTCAGAGGTAATGTAAATGTAAGTAAAGACTTTCTCGAAAGAGCTACTCTACTTTAAGTGATCCTTTACCAAATCTGCCTGGGAACTCCCTAAGAATATTGGTGACCTCATTTTGAATTCCCTTAGATTAGAAATGTAGTGTTGACTTGCTTTGATTTTCAACTTAAACCAATGCATCCCTCTTGGGATTTGTCCAACAATGGTGACAAGATGGCTAGAGAGTAACTATCTCAGCCTTTGTTTACAGACTGGCTGTGGGTACACATAGCAGCCTTCTACAAACATCCATGAGAAATGCACATGTAGCTCTGAGCTGGGGCTAGCCCTACCTCACGTCTCTCCTACCAAGAAATTTATATATGGATTCTTCTGATTATCCTTAAGACGGTTGTTGTAAAGAAGCTCTGGGTTTGCTGGAAAACAGAAAAAGTCCTTTAATGGTCCTTTATGGTCATGAGTCATCACTTCCTGAACATCCCTTGCTACTGTGCAGCAAGTTCCCTGGCCCTGCGTGATAGGAAGTGGCAGCAGTGCACTCTACTGACTATAACAGGGAGAAGTGTATGTGGCTGATGCAGGCTCAACTTTTTCTCCCCTAACAAAGAGTTGGACTGGAAACCTGCATTCTATTGTTATTCCCAGCCTGGATTGCTTGTCCCTTTCTACATTTATGCATTTGCCTTGGTGACCCAATTTGGAACTTACAGTTCTGACTGCCCATCATCTTTTTAGAGGATGAGATTCTGGAGTCTGCTTCTAACGTGACCCATGCCAACTACACCTAAGGGTTTTCTGATCATCAAACCTTCCCTAATCCTTCATGATATGCAACCTGTATGGGTCCACTCTCCACTCAGCCCTCACTGACAGAGCAGACAGATTAGAACATTGCTGAAAAGGAAACACTGTGGAAGAAAGGACTTGTTTAAAGGAAACTTAAGGGGAAGCTAGGTTTGAGAAGGAAAGACCATCTACTTTCTCCCATTGCCATGGATTTTAGGAAAGCTTTTTTAAAAAAAGATGACTAAGAAAGAAGAGATGGCCTAGTCAAATCTTAGAAACATGCTGATGACAGGCATTAATATGAGTAACTTGTGGCTGAGTCCTTATCTCTGGAATGCTATGGACCTTGTCTCTCTGAATAACTTAAAATACAAATAAACCTGGATTTTATGCATTTACAAAACATGATTCATTGGGAAATATCATTTAAACTATGTAATTAATAGACTATAAAGAGTAAATATGTTGTAACTGAAGATCAGGTTCCTGGTGTGCATGTGATATCCCAAATGTCTCCCTGTTCACCTAAGATGACCTGTATCCTTTCAACTAATAATGGAAGAAAGTAACGGATATTATTTCGGATTCTTGGAAGTCTTTAAAGTTTAAATCATAGACATGAACATTTCATGAGGAATGACTTAGAAAATAAGCCTTAGCAATAAAAAAACCAAAAACAAAAAACATTGTTTGGAAAACCTATAGCACAATGCCTGGGAATGGAGGGTGCAGTAGACCGTTCATTATGTATATTATTAACTGAGAACTAAGGCTGATGTTGATAGGAAAGACAAAATATTGTTTCAATTGCCCATGTATCATTTAATAAGGTTAAAAACTAAGTCACTAAGCCCCCATTCCCTCCCCAGTAGGCAAGTTTGGGAGGCTTGAATAGAAAAGGGAATTGATAAGGTTGCTATGGGAACTGAGCCTTAAGACCAATCCCCCACACAAGAAAAATCAGCTCAGCTCCAGAAATGCAGAAGCAGGGCCAGGACACCTTCTGTGTCAAAGGCAGGGCCTGAGACCAGACATCCCAGCAGATCACTGGTGCAAACCAGTGCCCCAAGTAAGAAAGCCTGAGAAAACAAAGTTTAAAAGAGACCCTCAAATCCTTCCCGCACGGACATCTCCCGTCTCACCCATTGTTCCCTTGTAGGTTATTTTAATAAATCCATCTTTCCGGTTCTCCACTTGTCTCTGGTGGAGTCTTTCACCCCCACACCTCTAACAGTACCCTGGTATTAGACCACCATATAAATGATACGTGGAATAATGCAACTGCCAGAAAAGAAGCAGAAGATTTACAGTGAGTGGAAAACAAACATTGGCTCATAGGGCAGTGAGGTCATAAAATCCAAGCATGTGAAAAAACAATTGACCTAAACTGAATTCCAAACCAATAGGCAACTGTAATTACTTGACCATGTAGGGACCTATTTTGTTACCAACCAATACACTGCAGCCAAGTCCACATTCCTTTGCCCTTAACCTGTCCCTTAGTCTTTGTTCTCAACCCTGTTCCCCCAAAATCATTATAACCCACTCTTTCTTAAAAGGGGAGACAGATGTGAGCTTTGATGTCTGCCTCCTTCCCACTTCATAAATAAACTTTTTCTCTCAAATACTGGTAATCAGGGTCTTGATACACTTTGGGCAGCAAGCCTTTTGTTTGGTTACAGTCACAAATGATCCTAATTTGATGAGGAATAATTATTCTTTATAGCATTTAGTTAATCACTTTGGAAGGAATCATAATGATTAGAAATATTGTGATTTTTGCAAACTTTACCCAAAATAATGGATAGAATTATTAGATAGAAGCTTCATGAGGGACATTAAAATGGAATAATCATGTGGTCACCACCTAAACTTACTGGTGGATCTCAGTATGCATGAGAGCCATCTACCAGAAATATGCATTGAACTATGGAGGAGTGAAGTTGGGCCTGCAATTTGCTTTCAAATATTTAAGCAATATTTGCTTAATAATAACCACAAAAACAGCAAAAGTGATAGATGAAGAAAGTGTGGCAAAATGTTGATGACTGATGAAACTTTGTATTTGGGGTTCATTATACCATTCTTTCTATTTTGTGTATGTTTGAAACTTTACATAATAAAAAAAAATATGGCTACCTACCGGCCACCAAAATGTCAAATCAGCTTGTATTAATTTAATTTTGGATAGCAAATTAAAGACAAATGGAAAATCACAGAAAATAACTTCAGTAAAGTTTTCAGGTTCCTGAAAATCAAACAGAAATAAGTTTTGGTAAAAGAAAAACTTTATTCCGTTACTTTATTACCTTAAACTATTCCTTCTATACTTTTCGGAATTTGTAAGACTTCAGATTATAAATTGCTAATAAAGTGCATTTGTTTTTGTAAGTAAGGGATGTTTGTTTTCAATGACCATTTAATTCAGCAACCTCAGTATTGTAATGAAGAAATTTTCAAATCTTGATTTATCAAAGTGATAACTACAGAGCTACTAATAAGTCTCCATTTAAGGCATGAAAATTTTCAGAAGTATAGATGTTATTCTTACCATGTTATCTCTAATGAACAGTCTTCTTCGATCAGCAACAAAGTCGAAACAATTAGAGAGTTCATTTATGTGGAAAGTATTTTCTGATAGTGGACACTTAGCTTTGTTGTTTACCTTTGAGAGAACAGAACTTGTAAATTTCATTTCATATCAATAAATGAATACATATATGTATATGTATGACTATTTTACAATCAGAATAGAGCTCTAATATCCAATGCATTTGTTAATGATAAAGTTCTGTAACACTTCCATTTTTATCTACAATTTCTCCATTTTTCATAAATATTATTTTTTAAAAAAATTCATTTATTTATGCATAATAGAACTTGGTGTAGGCCAGAGGTGTGGGGGGGAGCATATTTACCAGTGACAGAATGGGGAGCAAAACAGGCAGATCTACCGAAATACACTGTTGAGGGGAGCAGCAGGCAAGACAGGAGAAGTCTGCTGTGCCATATGGGTTAGTTCCCTGGCTGGGGATTGAACTAATGTTGCACTGGCTGGTGATAGCTTGATAGCACTGTGTCTTTAACACCTGCACCTCCAGGGAGGCCCCTTTTCATAAATATTTTTTTTTTTAAAGATTTATTTATTTATTTATACATACAAGCATTGGGTACAGTCAGAAGCGCGGGAGGGTGAGAGAATTCAGCACAGCCAGAGCGGGGAGCAGAGCAGGCAGAAGGACCAAAGTACACTGCTGAGGGGAGCAGCAGGCGGCAGGAGAGGTCTGCGCGCCATGTGGGACCCTCCTCCGGTGGCCGGGGAGCAGCCGGGGATCGAACCGGCGCTGCAGAGGCTGCGGGCAGCTTTACAACCCAGCGCTCAACTGCTGCGCCACCGGGGAGGCCCTTCATAAATATTATTAAGGATATAAGATATTGGCAATGGAACTAGTAAACCAATTCTTAAGCCAAGGTTTATGGAAAAAGTACCTTGATCTTAAAAATAGAAGCACTATACAAATACAAAGTACTTTTTAAATAAATCTAGCATTTTCTCCATTAATTAATTAATGTAAATTTAGCACACACTATTTGTCAGGATTGGGACAAAATATAGGCAAAATTTGTTTTGGCTTAGACAAACTTACGGGTATAGTAGTTAGCAAGCTCTTTCTCAAATCCAGAGTCAATATTTTCAGCTTATCACATACAGTCTCTGGTACAACTATTAAACCCTGCCATTTTTGTAGCATAAAACAGTTATTAAAAAGTTCACAAACAAGTGTGTATTTGTTCCAATACATCTTCATTTACAAAAACGAGAATGCCTGTGGGTATAGATTGCTGACCTTAACCCAAGGTCTAGTAGATAAAAACAAGTTGTTAGGCATATAGGGTACAGTTTCTGATTGTAGTATTTGAGTAGCTCACGAAGGTTTCCCAGAGGAAGCACAAGTAGAAAATCAATGATCTGAAAAAGCCACCATCACATCAAATTAATCCAAATGACTAAAGGCAGAAAGTAAGAAATTCAAGCACATAAGTTAATAAAAATGTAGATGAACAAGAGAGTATAACTGATAAAAAGATTGGTTATTTAAAGAAAAACCCAACTCAAAAAAGATGATCCAGAAATTAAAAAGGCCAATAACCAATGTCGTAAGTAAAAAAATTAGACAAAACTACAGATTGTGATGTGTACTCTGTGTTAATTAAAGAAATCCATTGCAAAATACCATCTTAAGTCCTCATGAAGTCTTTTACTTTTTAAGTCTTCAAGTATTTCATGCCAAACATTTTCCTTTTATAAACTATTGTTTTGTTTTTAATGTTTGTTTTTTTTCCATTTATACACTACTTTAAATTTTTTTCTTCATGATCTTTTTTGTCTTCTTAAGACTCCAACTGGCCATTCACAACAACATCAAAACCTATAAGCTAATTAGGCATAAATTTAACAAAAGAGATGAAAGCTCCTTACACTGATAACTATAGAATTTGATGAAAAAAGTTGAAGATAAATAAATGGAAAGATATATATTTCGTAGATTAAAAGGATTAATATTGTTAAAATGTTCATACTATCTGAAGCCATCTATAAAACTCAACGTAGTCCTCAAAAATCCAATAGTTTTTTTTTTTTTTTCACAGAAACAGAAAAAAACAATTTTAATATTTGTATGGAAATCCAAAAGATCCCAAAGTAAAAAACAATACTGACAGAGGAACACAGCTGGAAGTATATCCCACTTTCTAATGTAAAACACACTACAAAGCTATCAAAAGTATGTACTAGCATAAACATAGACTCATAAACAAATGGCAGAGAATGGAACTCTATGAAATATACCCTTGTATGCTTGACAACATTTGATATGGAAACTAAGCTCACTCAATGAGAAAAAATAATATCTTCAATAAATTTAGCTTGCGCAACTGGATAATACACGCAGGAGAATGAAATACACCCCTACTTTATGCCACTCAAAAAAATTAACTCAAGTGTATTAAAAACTTAAAGCTAAAAACAAAACTAAAAGAAAACATAGGGGTAAAGCTCCTGAATGCTGGTCTGGATAATTTTTGGGGCATAACTGCAAAAATACAAAAAAGTGAAAAATAAATAAATGGGACTATAGGGCCTCCCCGGTGGCACAGCGGTTGAGCGCTGGGTTGCAAAGCTGCCTGCGGACTCTGCGGCGCCGGTTCAATCCCTGGCTGCTCCCCGGCCACCGGAGGAGGGTCCCACATGGCGCGCAGACCTCTCCTGCCGCCCGCCCGCTGCTCCCCTCAGCAGTGTACTTTGGTCCTTCTGCCTGCTCTGCTCCCCGCTCTGGCTCTGGTGAATTCTCTCACCCTCCCGCGCTTCTGACTGTACCCAGTGCATGTATAAACAAAAAACAAACAAACAAACAAACAAATAAATAAATAAAACATGCCGCTATAAAAAAAAATAAAAAAAATACTTTAAAATGGGACTATATTAAAAAAAAAAGCTATTGTATCACAAAAGAAACAACAAAATAAAAAGGCAACCTATGGAATGGGATAAAATAAATCATATACATAGTAAAGGGTTTATATGCAAAATATGTGAAGAACTCATACTACTGAGCAAAAATCAATAAACAATTTGGTTAGAAAAATGGCCTGAGGATCTGAATAGATTTTTTTCCAAAGAAAATAAATACAGAGATACTCGATTCAACATGGTGACGGGAAATGCTGTGAGTAAGTCCTCCCATTAAAAAAAAAAAGTTAATAGGGAGGGAAAACGGAAGGTCGCTGGGAGAACAGGCGACTCTGGCAAACTTCCCAAAAAGGAAAGTTGCCATAAAAGCAGACAAGAAGAGAGAAAAGCTCAGAACCCTGCTACCCTCACACACCCACAAAGTGGGCACTCTCCAACCAACAGAAAAGAAGAAGAAAAAAAAAACCAACAAGAACAAGCTACAGATCAAGTGGGACAGTGAGTAGAAAGGAACTATTTCAGGCACTGCACCCCGTGAACAGGAACTGTGGAGAACTGTGCAGGAATTACCACAGAGGTGAGCGAAAGGCTGCAGGCGCCATTAGAGGAAAACAAGGACTCCCTGGAGAGACCAACAAATAGCCAAGGCCAGCTGGTAAGCTTGTGCGGAAAAGCGGTGCATGCTCAAAAAGCATATGCCGATCGCGGCTGCCCAGGTCCCTGCACCAGTGACCTAGGTTTGTGGGGAGACGCACAGGAGCTGTCAATGAGGTGAATGTCCCTCACTGAGTAATCAGAAACCAGGAGCCCAGGCATGGGAGTGGGGTGCAAAAGGCACCATTTCTGCGTACACTGAACTGGGCTACAGCCCATATCCTGTATCTGAGGGCTTAGGAACTGAGACCCGGGGCACAAAATTCGGGGCATGGGATCCCCACGATGGCGGGGCACAGGGCCGACACAGCACTTCCACACCGTTGAGGCGCTGCATGCTATTCCCACTCTCTTCACCAGTCACCCACAGGGAAAAAAACAGTTCTGGAAGGACACTAGGAAAGATCTCTGGCACCACCTAGTGACCAGAACAAATCACCAGCATCTTGATAGTTGGAAACCAGGGATCCCAAAAACACCCTCAGGCTCTGAGAAAGTGTGGGCCACGCAAACGGGGGTAAGAAGGGAAATAAGGCGTGGAGCAAGACCCCATTCTGGAACTGAGAGCCAGGCACAGGATCAAAGGCGTGGGACGCACCATAGAAGCGGGCACTGCACAGGGTGAGAGCTAGTGTTTTGGATCTGATAGCCCTGGGACTGAGATCTAGAGTGCAGAATTCAGGGCATGGGATCTGTATAGCTGTGGGCATAGCACCAGGGTGAACATGGGGCAGACAAAGCACCCAGCTTGAATAAGAGTCCCTGTGTGTTGAGGTTCTCCCCTCCACCCCTTCTCCATTTCTCAGAGAACCACTGGGAAAAAGCACAGGTCAGCAAGTACATGTCTCTGGCGCCACCTAGTGACCAGAACAAAATCACCAACTAGTTAATTCCCTGCTGGAACTGAGTAAATACAGAGGGAGGGAAATGTAAGGGACAATGCCCAGCAACACATCAACACCCTGGTGGAGTTTTGGCCTACCAGTGCTGGTCTCAGTTTGGTAAACAGTTTCCAACACCCCTAAAGCTTTAGAGCACTCCAAAGAGATGCCCACCACCACCAGTGGCACAATGTCCCAAAGCATAGAACTAATTAGAAAGCAAACAACAGGGAGAAGAAAAAATATAAACAAGCAAGCTGACAGGAGAAGGACACACCACAAAAAGAAATACAGTCACCAGAGCTCAACAATGACATGGAAGAACTTCTCGGCCTATCAGATAGAGAATTAATGATCATCATGATTAAATAGCCAAAAGAAAACAAAAAGGAAAAAAATGATTTGAGACAAATAATCACTGAACCGAAGAATGAAATTGAGACCTTAAGGAAGGAAAGAAAAGAAACGCAGAAGATTAAAAGATTATTAGAGGAGATAAAGAACTCTGGGAAAAGCAATGAAAACAGAATTGATGAAATGGAAGAACAGATCAGTACTATCGAAGATACAGAAATAAAAAGAGCCAAAAGAGAAAAGGAGAGAGAAGTGCAAATGAAAAAGTATGAGGATACGCTTAGACAATTATGAGACTCCATGAAG